ACTGTGCTTAAGTTTGCAATGTGATGCTGAATCATACCCCACAGTCGTAGTCATAAAGCAAGAATATGTTCTCTTGCTCTTTTACTCTTAAAAAGCAGAAGTTACTTTTCTTTTTGCAAATATAATTTAACCTATACCAAGCTAGCAGTTTTTATGAAAAGGTGCTGTCATAAAAAGCCAGCCTTTTTTGCTTGATGTATTTTTCTCTTGTGTCTTTGTGCAAGGCAGCAATTTGTCTTCTCTTGACATATCTATTATGTCAGGAGTTCACGTAGGAGCATACTGACAGATACATGATCACAACATGGCTCTATTCAGTCTCATGCTTTGGAGTTCTAACATCATCATTTTCACTTGGATTCATGGAGCCCTTGAAAAGTATATACATTGATTGCTAGATAGCCCAAGTTTTCAGGCACATTGCAGGCTCTTGAATTTCAAACCAGCAACCTCTTCGCTGTTTATAAATTGCTATAGGAATGGGAAGAATGAACAACTGAGTACAGTTTACCTTCAGTCTTCACTTAACTTGATTAACAGTTACAACCTCAACATCTCCATTCTTCCTTTGGAAGAAGGATAATGTTTTACCCACACAACTTCAATTGTAGTGACAAAACTTTCCAGCTGCAATCAGGCCCAAGCTGAAAACTGCTTGGTAGTTTACCATACACCTCCCCTCGCTCCCTTATTTTAACAGCTGTCTCTTAATTTCTTTGAGGAGGCCAAGCAGTGCACAGGCCTCTCCCTGCCCTCAGCACTCACTTAGCTCATGGCACTGCTGCTGCCTCCCATCAAGAGACAAGTCAGACAGAGAGAATCAAGACTTACATTTTACAAAGCTATATCCAAACAAATGCACAGAGTATTTTTGCTGGTCACTAAGGACACAACTTTAGACAGCCTTCATACAGCAGAGCTCCCCAAACTGAGCTGAAAAGCTTCCAATAAAATCAGCTGATCACTTCATGTTGTTTTATTGTATTGTCAGTCCCATTACTTCTGCTCCATGTTTTGATAACTACCCAAATTATCAACACATCTTAACATTCCAGTTTTGTAAAACACCAGTGTACACCACCAATGTACACAGGGTGAACTTCAGAACACTGACAAGTTTCCTTCCCACTTTAAACCAAGAAAATTAGCAAAGAGATTAAAGTCTTTAGCACATCTTATCAGATGTATACATATAAGGTATATTTACATATGTATCTAGATAAATACTAAAATAACCTGGGAAACTGTGTATGTTATTCACTAAGTGGCACAATGATTAATCTTTTTCTTTGCCTTCTATGGTCATTTTCCATGCCCTCCCATTCTCTTTGCTGTTTTGAGAATTGCCTTGATGATGAAGTTGGAAAAAAGGGATGTGACTAAGGGGAGATGGCTGGAGGATGGGGTGATAGAGGAGAGCTGCATCTGGAAGTAGAGGGGACAGCACAGAGCAAGGCCAGACAGTTTATGGCCACCAAGAACTGTCAAACACATCCTGGTGCCTCTCAGGTGGGATACCAGGAATAGCTCAGGACAGGATGGGAAGTATGGCAGAAGATAATAGCTTCTGGGAGAACTTGAGCAGAGCAAGCAACACCTGACAAAGTAAGGCATGCTCCACTCCAGGCCTTCTTAGCCACTGCCTTGCACTTGTCTTGCCTGCTCTGTCCCATAGACTCCCTTACAGAGAGATTCCCAGGTTCATCAAAGAGGTGTCATGGAAATCCCTTGTGGGGAAAAAAAAAAAAAAAAAAGATTAAATCAGAGTCTGACACCCCAGGCACCCTCCTGAATCACTCTTTGTATAGGAACATCAGTGTGGTGGTCACAGCTCTCATGTCATGATGTTACAGAAGATTGCTTGAATAAAAGGTCATCACACATTACACACAGCTAATGACTCCCCTCATATCACAGACAGTGTTTTCTCTGCAACTATCTTCTGTTCCAGCAGAGAGTTCAAAGGAGACAAAATTAGACCTGGGCAGGGTATTTGAAGTGCTGTAAACGTGGTTTAGTGACACATCAGCCAACAGTGCTGTGTGGTTTGTGCATGTGAGACAGTGTCTGACCACTTTCAAGAACAGGGTCAGGCCAGACCTGTGGAAGGGCTGCAGCAGCAGCTCTTTGATTTGCCAGGGGATGAGTAGACCATGCTGCACTCAAACGAATGGCACTAAACATGGCAACACCAACTCTGGTTCAAAATAGGAGACAGGCAGTTACAACATTATTTTAAATTTTATTTCCAGCCAAGGTTTACTCCAATAACATAGAACACTGGATCCACTTGCACAGCAACATTCAAGGTCAGATTGAATGGGGCTCTGAGCAACCTGATGTAGTTGAAAATGTCTATGCTCATTGCAGGGCAGTTTGACTAGATAACCTTTAAAGGTCCCTTCCAACCCAAACTATTCTATGACTATGATCTAGGTATGAGTTAACCATCAGAACGCGAACTGTAAATATGTGAATCTAGCTGGAACTGCACACAAATGCTTACTACTTAAAGCATTATCCCCATAGGGAAACCTTAGTGACCAGTAGTGATTTTATTCCTGATTATTATTACCTTTCTTAATTTTCCTTTACCTGTTCAAACCATGGGTTTGAAATACTGCAGTAATTGAGCTCAACAGGAAATGTGAAATGATTTTTCGCTATATTAGATAAATGGCTTGATAAAATGTAACAGGAAATGGACTACACAAGCAATTTTGCAGTACCATGGAGACTATCCTTTTGGTTAGCTAAGAGACTGGGGAAAGTGAATCTTGGCAAACCATCTTATTAGACACACTACAATAATTTGCTATTAAAAGCACTGACCATAAGCTCATTATTTTATGCAATTACTGTCCATTATTCTCAGACAGTGAGTCAGGAGCGCCCTGCAATAAATTCCAAGACTCAAGAGCAGCCCCATTTCAGATTAATTTTATTTCAATTAAGTAAAGGAATCTACTTGAACCAAAATACTTTTATTTTTTTACAGGACCCTTAAATTCAATTAAGAGCTCCTGTAAAGACTTAGGCATTTACAATGCACATCTAATCATGGAAAATTTCAATCTGGAATATAGTTATTTCAGCTTGAAATATAGTTCATATAAAACTAACTCAAGATTTCCCCTGTGACAGTGTATTTTCTATCACACCCATTTATCTACAGGCACTTCACTGGACTTGCATATCTTCATCCTGAAGTATGTCACACATTGCCTTTTCATCTTCCACAAGAATGTTCTGGTTTATATAATAACCTATACTGAAATTACTACAAATGTCCAGATGCTGAAATACTTTTCCTTAACTTGTTAATACATCCAAGAAAACCCATCCCTCTTACACAACTGACAGAAGACTAAGAACTGTTATTAGTCATGCGATTTGACTGACATTTCCCATAGAGTGGTTAAAAAAAAAATCTAGTTATTCTTCACATCTAATCTCTCTTTTTATGAAGGCACAGGGTTGCATTGCTGCTTAACCTCTGTCTTGTTAAACAGGAAATCAGAAACCAGAGATGTTATACTAAAAAAAGAAAAAAGCTTCCAATGTATGTTCAGTATTAGACAGAGACTCTAAAGCCATAATACATTTAAACTGCTTAGTGTCAGTACTCTCCTCTCAACCAATCTCACCAAAAGGGATGAGCCCCAAGTTATACATTTAACACCCCTACAATACCCATAGTGCATTTCATCAATGTCACTGCCTTGTCTGAGCAATTACTCTAGGTGAACTGGGTAATTGTGGCACAATAAGGGGCAGCACAAGTTGAATTCAGGAAGTACACCGAGTTCCACGGGGCTGCAGCCTGATGGCAAAAGCAGAGTTTTCTAGCAATGTTTAGTTTCAACTTTGCCATCTTTCATGGGGTAACTCTGAAAGACAAGAGGTGATTTGGGTCTTCTATGTGAAATGACATTGACAGATGACTTTGGATACTGAAAACTTGACAGTTTCAAATGATTAGACCATACTGACATAGAAGGAATAGTATAATATTAAAAAAACACTGGTTGGTATTCTATCTGAAGGCTGTGAAGCATTATAAAAATCAAAGGCATAATCAATATAGCTACTTGATACCAATATCTTCAACTGTCACACCAGGGGATGTTTTTCAGAGGAAAAAGTCAAATGTGTAATATGAGCTCATTTTCCAATAGGCCAGGGGAAATCTGAAATCTAGAAATAGCTGACCACTTCCTTGTGAAACACTACAGATAAGACAACTACAGATAAACTCTTTTCTTTCCCATCCTTTACATTTTATACATACAGGCATATTAGGTGTGGGAATAATTTCAAATAGATAATTAGCACCTAGTTAGTGTGTACTACATCCCAGCTGCTACTTTTAGTATCAGAAAGTCTTAGCATGTATTCTGAGTTGACAGTACTACACTGAGTCATTTGAAGGAAGCAAAATTACCTTATCTGTCCATTTTCTGTGCTGTCTCTACTTGCTTTAAGCAGAAAGCCTTGAAGCATGGAATTGCTTCTCAAGTGATCTCTTGAAATATTCATGCAGCTTTGTAACTACTTTTGCAGCCATTTCTTTAGGGTGAATTGTCATGACCAAAGTTTTATGAATATGAAGAAATGCTCTTAATATAAAGGTTAAATCTCTGTTCTGCTCTGAACACTAGCACAGATTCCATTCAGCTGGTAGATAGCACCAAAGTCAGACAGGACTTATGTGAACAGATTAAGCTATTCAAACACCAGTAGTAAAAATATCCCAATGCCTTGAATGGAAAAGAGAACTGTTTCCTGAAGGATAATCTGTGCATACATCAGAAAACATTTAAGGCAATTTCAAACCTTCCAAGCAGTGTGCCACTAAAACTGATTTTCTAAAGCAGATTCTTTCTGTCGGTTTGCATAAGTGATAACATCAGTTGTGCATTTTAGGGGATGATTCAGACCTTAAGAAGGGATGCTGCATCTCTTACTTTTCAGTGTATTTAGCTCTAGGAAACACTTACAGATCCAAGGTCAATAATGAAACAATCTCCTCTGTTGAAGCTGGTCCAAGCCAGGGGAACTTCTGTGGCTCTTACAACTCTCCGGCCCTTGATATGCAGCAGCCTCCGGGCACTCAGATCATTAGTAACAACATGATTAAATCCAGAGGCAACACCACCTGCCTAACACAACAAAACAAAGAAGCCAGCTTTATTTCAGCTTTATTTCTGCAAACTTACCTTTTTTTTTTTGCTACAGATGAGAGGCTACCAGGGGAAAATAGTTTATGCAGCAAAAGGTAAACCAAAATAATGTACTATATAACAGCGCTGTCCACGAACCAGACAGACACTGCTGCTGTTGAACTCTCAGCCAAGAGAGCAGATGTCATCCTACTTCAAAGGGTTTTCAGAATAACAGGAAAAGGAAACCCACAGGATTTACAACATTCTCTTGCATCTTCCAGATGATGAGGCGATACTGAGTCCCATTGTCAGGACAGAAGTCAGTAGGTTGTCAAGTAAGGACAGAGGAATATTCGGCTCCTTTATAAGCTTTCCCAACTTGAATCTCAGATGCCTGGAAGGTTCTAGTGCCTGGTTATGTGTAGAGGGATGGGCAATTTTATGAAAGGAATACTTGCAATTTAGGAGGCAACCTAGCAAGGAGCACCAAACTGGGGGAAGTAAGACCAAACTCTTGATTTACAATCTATACATGTAAGTAAAAGCATAATCCTATAAACTGGCTTGGCTGTCTGCCTCTGTAAGGCAGCATTCTCCACTCCTCTGGGAGACACATCTTTGGTTGGAACAGACACTGGCTCTTGAGAAAGACTGGGCAGGTCACTGCCAAGCTCTCTTATGCAAGCAGTCAAATGCTTCAAATTGGTTGTGTAGACCTTCATAACGGGAAAAAAAGGCTGACTGAGCCATGGCTCCCAGATTCCGGGGAGATTCTCAGGAAATACATTACTTTATTCTTAAAAACTCCCACAGATGTTGCAAAAAAAAATTTCCTTCCAAAAGGAAGCTTCTGAAAGTGACACAAGGAGGCTGAAACTACACCTTCAAAATATAAAATTTTTCTTAAAATTATTTGGGAGGTTTTTTCATCTGCTTCAGAAAAAAAAGTAGACGAAGTGTGAAAGCACCATTTTTAGACTAAAGTGAGGTTTTGGTCTTTTCCCCTCTGTTCATGTTTTTGAACCACTTGAGCACACTGGGTCCTGCATTTGAACAAAATGATTCAGTCTACAAAAGAGAAATGTTTTTTGTGGTATTTAATACCTCCTAGACAGATTTCCTACTGTGAGCTCCCTTAGACACACAAGCATGAAATCTCAGGACAGTTTTATCTTTGGGGAAAAAAATACTTGGGAAAGGTTTTCTGGTATCAGAAGAGGCACTACAAACAAGCTGCTGCTTTCTCTACAAGCACTTGGACTCCTATAGTTTAAGATGGGAAGTTCAAATCTAAGCCCACTAAGCATTAAAAAACAAGTTTTAAACTCTCCATTTACAAAGACAAGATTTGATTTTCATACAGGGAAGAATGTTACATACAATTTTACAATACATTTCAACAGCTGACTCTTTACCTTGTATTTAATTCCTCCTTTGAAGTAGCCCACAAACTCAGTAGATTCATATCCTTGAATTTCTCTACTCTGCACAGGCTTTCCTCCTAAATAGTCATCCATCTGAACAGCAAAGATAGCTGCAGCTGTGCTTTCATCCTGGGTGCATTCTTTCCCTGAAACAAAAGGAATATTATGCCTATAAAGCACAAATCTAACTTTGAATTCTGTTGAAGAAATTGTTTTGGTGACAATCAGCCACCGCATTCAGCAGGTTGTACAGCTCATGTTTATTTGGCAACAAAGCATTACATCATAACCTTGGTCACCGCCGCATGCATGACCTTCCAGACTATTTCTTAACCACTTACAGAACTGCATTCTTAAGAGTGAAAAATAGCAAAGTGCATCTTTTCTCAGCCTCTTTGGACAATTTTAATTGAGTTTAGCACAGCAAGCACCTGCAGGGATGATTTCTGGACTTTGACCTAAAGTGTAAAGACAAAGAAAGATCACATCAAAGGACTGACTGGATGATAACCCATGTATTTATGTATGCATCAAGCCATAAAGCCAAAATAATTCAAAAGGAGTCCTCTTGACAGTATAAAGCAAGCAAGGTATTTTGCTTAGATACCTTTTATTAGATGCTTGGCGCAGCTGGGAGAAATAAAAGCAGTTTTGGGGCTCAGATACTTGCTTCATGAAGTCAAACTATATTTTGTACCTTTTAAAAATTAGCCTCTTCCCAGGACCGTGGCAAAATGACCTCTTTGCTTAGTGTGCTGATGGCCTAATCATGCTGCAAAGCAGGCTGTATATGAAGTCAAAGCTTTTAACATCTGCCCATACATTTTTGATTGACATTTTCAGCAGTTTTGAGTGTTCTAAGAAATGCACAAATAGGATCAAGTCTAAAAAACCAGACTTCTCAATAACTTCAGAAGAATAAGGAAAAATGAGGTCTTCCATTTAGTTTTGGGTTGGGTTTTTTTTCTAAATAAGAGGGGAAAAAATGGTACATAAGTAGCAGCTCTGAAGAGCAGCTTCTCACTTGGATTAACCATTTCCCTATTTCTAGGTGACTAAGCTGAAAAATAGCATAGAGCCCAGACAGTCTGCACAGAGACCTCTCACAGGCTGTAGAACAGAAAGTGCATAGTGAGGCTGGTGTCACAGGAAGCTTGTCAGTAAGGTATTAGGAGA